CTCATTTTCTCTTTTATGTTACCTTCCATCATTGTTTATTATTTACCTTGTTATTATTTCTTTTATTCTATTTTCTTTTGTTTAAATTTATCCTATTTTTCTAGTCATCTGGTGAAAGCTGAGGGTCTGAGACCTTTCTTTTTCAATATAGGTATTTGGCATTATGAAATTTCCCCTACTACTGTGCCAGTTTCATTTGTGAATTTCAATATGTTGAGTTTTAATTTTCTCTCATTTCAAAATACTTTCTGATTACCCTTTTGATTCTTCTTTGATTCATGGATTATTTAGAAATGAGTTATTTAATTTTAGATATCTTTCTGTCATTGATTTCTAACTTCATTGTGTGAAGAGACAATATAATTTTGTATGGTTAGAGTTCTTCTAAATTTATTGAGAATCACACAATCAGAATATAGGTTATATTAGAAAATGTTCTGTCTGTATTTGAGAAGAGTTTGCATTTGGCTATAGTTGGGTAAAGTGATTGATAAATGTCAGGTCAGGTTGGATGACAGCTGTGTTACAATCTTCTATATATTCACCAATTTCTCCTTTATTTATTGAGAGAGGAATACTAACATCTCAGGCTATAATAGCAAGGTACAATATTGGATTTTTCTATTTTTTTTGTAGTTCCATCAGATTTTGCTTCATTTACTTTGAATCTCTCTTATTAGATGCATAAACATTTAGAATGCTATCTCCTATTGATTAATTGAGCTGTTTAACATTATGAAATAACTTTCCTTATTGCTTTTCATATTTTTTTGCTATGAAATATACTTTGGCTAGTATTAATATGCATTTTAGAGCTTTCTTCAGATTAATGTTAGCATGGTATATCTTTTTATATTTTGCTATTTTAGCCTCTTCTTTATATTTAATATGTGTTTATTGTAGGCAACATATGCATAGTTCTTATTTTTTAAGCCCAACCTGATGATCTCTGCCTTTTAATTGAGATATTTAGACAGTTTACATTAAATGTGATGATTGATATCATTAGGTGTAAATATGTTATCTTGCTATTTGCTTAATGCTTCTCCCTCATTATTTTTAAAGATTTATTTTTCTAGATAGTCATCTGTTTACTATTATGTGCTTAATTTGCCTACACTTATTTATTTTCATCCTGCTTGGAATTTCTTTACATCATGAACCTAAGAATCTGTGATTATTGTGAATTCTTGATAATTCTTAGCTACTGTGTCACATAAATATCACCTTTACTCCATTTTCTCTAATCATAACTTTCTGCCCATATTCTCTAGTTTTAAAAATCTTGTTAGGCACATGTTGACTTTTTTCAGATCATTTAGGCTTATAATTTGTGAGGAGAATTTTAAAATGCATATGCATATAGAATGCCAGTGGTGGATAAAATATTGTATGTTCTGTTATCTCTTGCTTAGAAATTATACATTTAAATTTTAGAAAATTTAGAATGAGTATGGATATTAGATGCTAATATTAGCAGTTAATTTTATAGTTGAACTTCAGACTGGAGATTAGGTAATTTGTCTAAGAATGTACATTTAGAACAGAATAAGTTTGTTCTTTCAAATGAACTAAATCCCTTAATATCTTTTGCTTCAAAATATTTATGGGCATTGACATGTTCTATAATGTGAGACTACATCCCCCCACTTTAATTCATAAATTTAAGTCCTAACCTATTTTACCTCAGAGTGTGGCTATATTTGGAGATAGTTCTTTTAAAGAGGTAATTAAGAAAAAAATATGAGGTCATTAGCGTGGGCCTTAATCCAGTATGACTGGTGTTCTTATAAGAAGAGGAGATTAGGGCACAGACATATATAGAGAGAAATATCCTGATAAAACTAGTAAACTAGATATCAACCTAGTAAACTAGAAGACAATGACCCTCATAAGAGAGGCTTCAGAAGAAATCAACTTTGCCAACAACTTAATCTTGGATTTACAGCCTGCAGAACTATAAGGAAATAAATTTCTATTCTTTAAACCATGCAGTTTGTGGTACTTTGTTACAGCAGCTCTAGCAAACTAATACAACATCTTAATTTTTTTTTGTTTTTATTATTATCCCTAGGGAACATATATTTTATGAAAGGTGAAGACTTTCTTGTGTTCATATGTCTTCTCTGTATAATTTAGGAAACTGTCAGATCAGATACAAAATCTGTTTTGTTCAGCTGCTTCTGTCCTGTGTTTTTATATTCCTTATAGGTACTTGAGACATGCTACTTTTCTATTGGGATGTTCTATCTCTTCCTATAGATTTATTAATTCATCTAATGAAGAATTTTATTGGAATTAAGATCCATTATTAACTTGGTTGGATTGTTTACTATTAAATATAATGGCAATAATTTAGGTGTATTTGAAAATAACAGTTATAGTGTGTCTGTCTACTTGCATATTTATCCAGGATGTAAGTCTGTATGCGGGAGAGTAGTATGCTGCTATTTGAGGGTTCCAGGATAGCTTAAATAATGACCTAGTGGCCTACATTTTTTATAGGTTCTAAAAGTTTCTAATGTTACACTGGGAAATAAAAGAGGCTTACTAACATTTAATTTTCATTTGCTTTTTGGGAACATCTATATAATCCTACAAGATAAATATTCTTGGTTATTATTTCCACTGGCAAACAGTTTTTCTTTTCACTCATAAACTGCCTTTTGCCATACAGATTTTGTCATATTTCTTAAGTTCTTCTGGTCATAAAACTACTTTAAAATATCAAACTCATCAATCATATATTTCCTGGACTTCCATAATATAACTTGACTCTTAAATTTACAGTCCTTTTGCTGAGCATAATTTAGCTTTTAAATTTATAGATCTTCTTGCTGGACAGATCAAGCTGTTCAGTGTTTGAATAATGTATTCCTGATAAAGGACAGAGTAGGTCTTTATAAAGAACATGACTGGCAACACCTTGACCTGATCAGGATGATTTCAAGTTGAAATTTGAGAGGAGAAAGAAATACTGATAAAACTAGTAAACTAGATATCATGAAAGGCAGTGGTTATAAAGAAGGACCCAGAACAGCACTGTGGCTTCTGGTATTTATCTTCTACTTCACAGAGATGCTGGTGTTAAAGTAAATCTGAAATTTTAATAGAAGGCAAATACATTTTCTAGTTATATAAATTTACATGAACATTCAATATTCTTAAGTATCCCTGAAGCTTGATGAGTAAGTATCATTCTTTTGTGTTTTATGGTTTGGTTTTAGAATATATGTCATATGATAATCTTTGTTGACAGTAAACAATGTTTTAAAATATTATAAATATATTTATAATTAGAGTAGAGTAAATGCAATTACAGTGGGAAGGAACATAAATTTCATTGAATCCTATCTAATACAAGACAAGGGAACATAATCTTATGTCAAGAAGAGGTCTTCACAAAGGAAGTCGTTAAACATAATGGTAAAAATTTGGGGATTTTGGGTGGTGATAAGTGGAAAGAAAAGCAGAAATTCTGTTCTTATGGAAACAGGGTTTAGTTTCTTAAATGTAGAACAGAACATTTTATTTTCTAAGGTTATCTCCAACCCTATTCTCTGTTAATGCAATTAAGTTGATATTTTTGAAATGTGGGATGAAAAAGTTTTCTTTCCCAAATTTAGTATGTATGAAAATTGAATGGAGCTGGGTTTGATGGCACACACTTGTAATCCCAGTGACTTGGGAGGCTAAGGCAGGAAGGTTGCAAGTTCAAAGCCACCTCCGCAATTTAGCAAGACCCTAAGCAACTGGATGAGTTCTCATCTCAAAATAGATAAAAGAAGGAAAAGGTCTGGGGATATGACTTGGGTGGTTAGGCTGTTCTGGGTTCAATCCTTGGTTACCACCGCTCACCCCCCCCCCCAAAAAAAAAAAAAAAAACGAACAAAAAAGAAAAGAAAAAAAATTGAATGGAACATTTGTTAAATTGTATATATCTGAGATCAGAAATTCTGATTTAATTTTGAAGTAGGACCTAGCAATCTACATTTTATGTTTTTGATTGAGGATTCCATGTTATTCTTTAGATAAAAATAAGTTTATTAAAATATCATTCTTTTGCATTTTATGGTTTGGTCTTGGAATATATGTCATATAGACAATCTTTATTGACAGTAAACAATGCTTTAAAATATTATAAATATTTTTATAATGCGAGTAGAGTAAATGCAATTACTTTATAACATTTGCTGCTGTAATTTAGGATGTTGTGAAGAAAGGGAAAGTGGTACGTAAGTGAATTAGGGCAATAACTGAAGTCAGCAATTCTACATGAATCTGTCATTTTAGATCCTCAGGGAAGCAGATACCAAGATGGGGTAAGAAGAGAGAGATAAAGGGGAGGAGGGGAAGGCATAGGGAATATTTAGATTACTGTGAAATCCGACACTTTGTAGAAGTTGAGTGAAGGAAAATGGATGGGGTTCCGTGATACAGGCCTAAGCAAATCTAAGCCCGTCCAATGGTCAACTCTGATGTGTCAACAAAAAAGTCCACTGTTGACCAGACACAGCCAGACCCTGGCTCCCTCAGAGTTCTCAGTCATGGACATCTTTGTGGACAGAATGTAGCCTCTGCTCCAGCACTGTGGCACATCCTAAGTGCTGGAACTCCCAGCTCCCCCACTCCTCCTGACAGCCACCTCCTGAAGGGAAGTGGAGCAGTGCACATTCCTGGCTGCTACATATTTTTTTTGATGCTGACCGAGTGCGAATGCATACTTGGAGGCATAATTGGACATCATCTGTGCTGATTTCCTTTGGCTTCTGTTTGTTTGCTTCTACTTTTATTGTTTAAGTCTCTCTGATTCCATTTAGTCCTGCACATTTTTCCCCCTCCACCCATCAGGTGTATGATGTGAATGATTCTATTCATGTATGATTTTGTTTAAATCGATTCAAAAATAAATACCCTTTGTTAGGATGTGATGGTCAAAAACTGCTTTGTAAAGATATGGGATTTTAACAACTCAAGAGTCTTTCATGTTCTTCCTCTAGTCTGGCACCAAGAAGAACTTTCTCGGATTAACCAGTGTCTCACTGGAGCTGAAAGGAAGGCTGCTTTGTGTGAACTTTTGGAAAAAGAGACCCAGATAATTGCTTCCATTGGGAGACACAGATCCATTGCTTATTTGGAAAGAGAGGAATCAGAAAAACAAGCTTTTTTGAATAAGGTTAGTGAAGAAACTATTATTTCAATATGAATGTATCTGGAGTTTAAAAATGTGTAATCATGATCTAAAAGGACAGAATCATAAGAATTTACATGAATTTTGTTTAGCATTTTGATGGCTTATTTCTTTAAGTTCTATATACTTAATTCTTATGTAGCTGTATATGTTAGTCACAGCCAAGAATAAAAAATGATAAGTAACCCAAAAGGAACTTGTTCTTAACTAAAGGGATTTGATCATGAAGGAAAAGATGGCGACACCTTCCTTGTGTCTCTGTTCATTTAAATTTAGGCTGGCTGTGTGAAGTAGATAAGTTGCACACTCTGGTGAAATGCATGGTATGAAAATCAGAGAACATCAGGGTCTGGGGTACTCTGATAGTAAGCAGCCTGGGGAAAATAACTCAAGTCTGGTGTCTTACTTGGGGCTCACTATAACATCAACTGACCCAAAGGGTTTATGATTATTGAAAACCATGAAAAAATTCAGTTAAGGGGAAAACTAAAGTAATTACCCTTTTGTGGTCAACCTGCCTGTTTGATATTGAATAGCTTGTTTCCATAGTAACACAGTTCCTTTTATAAACCTGATCTTTCCAAACAATTAAAAGCCAATCCAACCAGAATAAAAGGATGAATTTCTCCAAGAGATTAGCCTGTAGTGATTCTAGTTTTGTGGTTCTTATTTTTTGAGAACATTTGATCTTAAAAACTAATATATATATTAGTTTATCTCTATATATAGTTTATCTATATAGTTTATGTGTATATATATATATGTATATATATGTGTGTGTGTATATGTGTGTGTGTGTATATATATATATATATGTATATGTATACTTTAAATGATATCTTCTTATTTTACTTATACACTATTTGATCTCAGTTTATTTTGGCTTTTGCTATAGTTCCAGGTCCAAGCCAAACCCATAAGAGCTTTCAAATCATCTATGCAGCTTCCTACTAGCGTTGTCCCTTGGATACCTCAAGAGTGCACCTCAAAATGAAGTAGCAACCCTAAGTCATATAATTTCACCATTTTTACCCTCCTCACTTCCATACAGATCCTATTCTGTAGCACTGGTATAACCTTTCTTAGGAATGTTTCATCATCTACTCATTTGCTTTAGACAGTTGCCTGGTTGGTGTTCTTTCTTCCCCATCTAGCTACAAACCTCTTTTATTTCTATTACTTTAATATCTCCTTAATTCTGCATTTTTTCCTTTCTGACTCACTATCATTAAGTACAGAGAAATAACTCTGTTGTGGCATCCTGATAACCTTGCCTGTAACAAGTAGGCCACACAGGCAAAGACTTGGAGCACAGATATTGTGAGTCTTGTCAGAATGCCTTCAGATCCTTCTGGAACAGGAAAGGAGAGGGGTAGCAGCTCCAGTTTCCTGCCTCCCCATTTTCCCTGAGAGAATGTCACAAGATAGGCCTTGCCTTTTCTTGTCCATAAAATTGACACTTATTTGGTGGACTCTGGATTTTATTCTCACCTGGATTATTTCATGTTTCCAAGTTGGACTATTGCCTCTAGTCTAATCTTCTCAGTTCCCTCCTCCAACATCTACACCAGGGCCATAGTGACCTCACTAAACATACCTCTGATCCTGTCCTTCCCCATTGCCCTGAGAGAGCAGTGCTTCTTCTCATGATCTGTGGTATCTCCCTCATCCACTGTTTCCCTGTCACCACAAACACTGCCCCAGCCATGCTCAATTACTTGCATGTCCCCAGAAGGACCACGTATCCTTATTATGCTTTTGCATCTGAGGCTGCCTCTACATGAAACATCCTTTCCCTTCTTCTGTAGTAGCCAACTACTCACCCTATAAAACAGGCTCAGATGTCCCTTCTTCCAAGGAGGATCTGATTCTCCTACTAGCCTGCACTGGGATTAGCTGTCCTGGGATTCTGTCTCACCTTTGTCTTTGTATGCAGTGGTCATGTTTTGCTGTCTTTACTGAATGTCTGAATTCTTCCTAGATTCTGCACTTCTTAAGGCAGGAGATATCTTTCATCTCTATATCCTTATGTCTTAGTACATTCCTTATCACAGTATCAAGAAATGTTTGTGGAGAATGGCAGGGAGGAGAACTAAGGAACAGATATAATGGTGTGCAATTTTACATTTCAAACATCATCAAGAAATTATGTAGATTCTGTCATTTAAAATTCTTGAATATCTTTATTCTGAGAAAGAAGACTCTACCGTAGGGAAAACTGTAATACTCATATTTATTGTCATATTTCAAACAAAACTTCTTACTGTAGTAGGTTGCTTTTACTTGCATCCAAGCTTCAGCTCTGGAAACTATTCTGATGTGTCTGATCATTAATCTCACCAGAGAGAACGGCATGAATCCAGGCAACATGGGTGTTTCCATGAGCTGGAGGCTTCTAATTGCTAGGGGACAGGAAGATGGGTGGCACTTATCTTTTCTTACTTGAGGCTGGTCCATCTCCAAGATATTCCATGTGTGTTATCATTGCTGCTTTCAATTTCCTATGAACTACTGGAAATTCTGCTGTTCTAAATACTTGTATAATGCCTGTTCCTCTTTATGTGATGACTGTCTCACATTCCAGTCCCCATGTCCAAAGCATCATCTCTTTTTTGAAATTATATAAAATTCATCAGTGGGTCAAAGCCCAACATGTAAAAAGTGACTTCAGAGCCAATTGATTACCCTGACCCTTTCTCATGAAGTATAGCATGTTAAGAGGTCTTTATGTAAATTTCATTTAAAAAGCAGATAAAATGGAGAAATTTTGTTTACAAAGATTCCTGTGAGGAAGGAAGACCTTTTTTTTTTAATATTTGATAAGTTCTTGATATAGAATTTTAGGTCCTAAAGAATCCTGAGCATATAAAGAATTGCTATGTGCTGGGAAAATAGAAAGTTTTTGATTTATTTTGTTGTTGTTTTGGAAGAGGAGAAAGAACCAGATAAGTGAGCTGGATTTTATGTAAGGCTGATGCAGGGTACCACAGAGAAGAAAGGCCAGAAAAATGAGGGAAAGATGTAAATGTTAGCCACAAGAAATCAAAGGAAGGTTTCTTGTGGGTCACAGATTTCAGAATTGGAGTTCTAATCCTATAGACACCCAAGATGAAAAACCAGTTGATCTCAATTCCCAGGTTAAATTTAGAGGCAGTGTACATTTTAGCTATTTTTGACCAAAGGGTAAGAAAAACAAACCATAAAATAGAACACTTACACTTGAGAATAATCCCCAGTGTAATCTCATAATCTTTGGAAATACAGACCATGACTTTTAGTCTGTTGTAGTAAATTAAAAATCTGTTGCTACTCTAATGCAAAATAAGTTTTATCTTTTTGTATATGCTGCCATACTGAACATCTAAAAAACAAGATAAATTTTATAAAGTTTTTGTTGTAAATACTTGTACAAGATTCCTGTCCACCTTCCCCATGCTATGCCTGTGTTGTCTCTGATATTCAGGTGGAGTTGGTGTTGATTTAAAAAATGTTGATTGAAGTAACTTCTTATTCTATGAGATTTTTTTTTATTGTTAAGAAAAAAATAGCTTAAAATTAGTACTTGAAGCTAGACAAGATGTCAAAACTAACAAACAATCAGAGACATATTACAAATATTCAGATATACATTTTTTAGCATCATAACATACAGACACTTAAACAGAAACAGAAATATTTGCTTTCTTATAGTTTGGAAATAACTTCAGAAAATAAAACTTTTTGTATTGGTTTTAGTTTAAATTCACTGAGTCCAAATACTTTGTGGTCCATTGAAATAATATTTTATGTTTTATCTTTTTATCCTGAACATAGAATTTCTCTGAATGATGAATGATATGATTTTAAATTGATCCAACCAAGTAAATTATAATGGATTTCTATACTGTTTGCAATTTTTTTTTAAGTTTTTTTTTTTTTTTTTTAGTTGTCAATGGACCTTTATTTTATTTATTTATATGTAGCGGAGAATGGAACCCAGTGCCTCACACATGCTAGGCAAGTGCTCTACCACTGAGCCAGAACACCAGCCCCATAAGTTTTTATTCTTGCTAAGTGACTTACTCTAAATATTTTTCAAAGCATTAAATAATTTGTAATTTTAACACATCAAACATTGACTTCCACAGGTTGTCAGATATTAAAAGCCTATAGGTTGACAGAGGTGAAGAAATTCAGGTCAAAAAATTTGAAAGAAAAATCATGAGCTGGTTTCTAATGTATCTTGGATGCTCTTTACCCACTCTGCATCAAGAGATCATTTGAATTTTGTAAGAGGTTTTCCCTAGAGTAGGGGCCATTTATTTCTTTGATTCTCTTGGATTCATACACCATTTCTTATAGCCACAAGCTTAAGAAACTGCAATTCACGTCAGCTGTGTCATTTAAATGCTTTTTCTCCATACCCAGGTCCCCAGCAGCTAATGGGACAGGAAAATGCATCCAGCTCTTTGTGAACATGGCAAGAAACAGGGGTGTCTCTGTGGATGAATAAAACCCCTTTGCTGTATAAAAGAAAGGTTCATCACCACCCAGTGGCTTTTGAGGGGTTAAGCTTGTGCTCGCTTTGTGCCCTTAGGGACTTGAGAATTAATTTAGGAGGAAGAAAAAGCCCACTCTCACAGTGTGGCCATTTCTTCTCTTTTGTGGATGCCTGCTGCTCTCAAGGTTTTTGTTATCTTTCCACCTTCCCTTCCCTGAAATGCGTCTTCCTGCTGTTCTTCTGTTCCTCTGTCCCAGAGTCTGTGCTGTCTCATTTGTTGGCAGCTAAATGGAATTTATTACGCTTCATTTTCTGAAGCAATTTAAGAACATGATTGTTGTACAGTTCTTATTATAGCCAAAGCATTCAAAGAAAAAAGGAAGTAGGAAAGAGAAATAAGCAAAGTTGACATTTTTCTGCGACAGAGTGAAAAACACCTTAAGACCTAAAATCAAAGAAGCTTACTCTTAAAGACCAAGCTATCAGTGTTGGCAGAAATATGCCCAAGAATAAAAACATCTTTGCCAAATGGATTTTTTAATATTATCTCCATTAGCTCTAGGGAACTGGAACTTCAGATCTGGGACTCTGGTTTTATCACTCAGTTCTCTTTATTTTATTAACTCCTAGTTATTCTTCAGTTTTCCTCTTAGATACTGTTTTCTTTTCACCAGCCTAGTGCTTTATAGCAATCCATAGTTATCTACTAACCTGTAGTCTTTACTCCATTCACCCTTTCTTTTATTTTTTTAACATCTATTTTATTTTTATGTGGTGCTGAGGATCAAACCCAGTGCCTCGTGAATGCTAGGCGAGCACTCTACCTCTGAGCCACAACCCCAGCCCTCACCCTTTCTTTTAATTACTTATTTTCTTAACTTTCCATCCCATAAGATTTGAGAGTTCTTGACATCAGGACAGTATTTTATTTACTCATTGTACTTATAGTACTCACAGTACTCACATAGTACTATTTAGTAAACACAGTAAATATTTGTTGAACCAATGAATGAATAAATAATTTAGGCCTGAGAAATATATAGAACTAGATGAAGAATTTATTTCTTATATTTTTTTGGGAGAAACAGGAGTAATAATCATAAAACAATTATAGAACAATATGGATCCAGCTTTTATTGGCCTGAGTGAGATAGAGGCCCTCCATGTTTGTGTGAGTGTTTCTACAGGTGTAAAAGAATTTTAGATACATTGTTGGCTCAAACCATAGTATTAGATGACTCTTTATAAAAAATGTAGGGTTTGAATTCAAAATTGAAGGGTAAGAAGTATTTGTATAAAGAACATATTTGGAAAGACCCAAAATATGATTATGTTGTACCAGATTCCACAGGGCCAGAAACTTGGAGGGAGAGAATATAGAATTAAATCAAAGCATCAACTGAAAAAAAATATAGTGAAGTAGATAAAGTAGGCATTTCCTAAAAACATTTTAAGGACTATTACAAATGAAGTAAGTAACCAACCTGCAGAGAAAAAAGTATTGTTCACATCACTGGTAGAAAGTAAATTACATTTAATAGAAACACCCTGAGAAAAATTTCATGCAATGATTAATATATTAGCTGGACTTTAGAATATTGCAGTATTAAACTCAGCCTAAGCTTGCTTATTCCTTCAAATTTTTAAAAGGAATTTTGAAACCAGTGTTGTACTTCAGTAACATGCTGAGGCTTACTCAAAAATGAGGCTGTATCCATTTTAATTATTTTATTTCTAAGTGAAAATAATTAAATAATAAAATATTTTATTGCTCTATTTCATTTTTATAATTCTTCAATCAATTTTATATAATTTTATTAGTCTGCTAATTAACAATACATTATTTAATATTATTTTTATGACCTAATATAAATTAATTACAGGGCTACAGCTTCTCAATTTTTGTATTACAACTAGAATTGAGAATTTAAAGTTTCTAATGAAGTTCTCTACCTGTGAACTACATTTATTTTCACTTTGAACAGAATATGATGCCATTATTTTGAAACTATATTGAATGCAGTTGTTTGTAAGAGGTAATTTTGTAGTGATCAATGTAATTTAGGTAATATAAAATGTAAAAAATTAAAGGTATATTGGTGTTATAACTAAAAAATTCTTGATAACAGTGACCTTTTGAATAACTGCCTTATATTATGTTTCCATTTTGTTATTCTACATTCCTAATGATTTGTTCCAATGCATACATCTTCTCTTTAAGTTTCAAATTAAATCTAGGATTTAAAGGGCTACAGGTATGGCATAATTGGGCATAAATTGAGGTCCTTATGAACCCCATAGCAATTATCAGTTAACCTACAAAAACTTGGTAGGAGAGAACAGAAGCAGTGGCAAACAGAGAGGCCCCATCATTACAAATTATCCTGGTGTCCTCTAGTCTGGAAGAACTAATTCTGTGTCCTGTCTCTGGTCTTTGGCCTCCTCTCCTAGGAGTCTTTAAATGAATTTCAAGGCACATGAACTCCATCTTTGGCCCTTGGCTCAGGGGGAGGAGACTAGGTTGGGAATTACTAAGCCAGATTTGGAAATAGGAAGTGAGAATTTTAACTAACATCAAGGTAGCAGGGATCATAGCACTGCTAAGATAGTGAAGTGCAGATGTCCCCTCAAACCCATGGCAGATTGGTTCCAGGACCCCCAGTGGATACCAACATCCACAGTTGCTCAAGTCCCTTATATAAAATGGCATAGTATTGGTATATAACCTATGTATGCCTTCTTGTGTACTTTAAGCCTCTGGATTATTTATAATACCTAATACAATGTAAGTACTATGCAAATAGTTATTACACTTGTTGTTTAGAGAATAATGACAAGAAAAAGAAAAGGCCTATATATTCAGTACAGACAAAATTTTTTAAAATTATTTTTTGATCTGTGGTTGGTTGAATCTGAGTATATGGAACCCACAGATAGAGAAGACTTACTGTATAGTTGTTTCACTATGGACATCTGCTTTATGAAGAATTTTGAACTTGCTATAGATTTATTTTTGTGTAGGGCTCCAAACCATAAAAATCCCTTTCTGGTGTATCTTTAGGTCTGAAAACATTGAAGATTGTCACAACTGCTACATAAAAGTTGTCTGCAGATTTGGGGTAAAATTGGGAGTTCATAACCCACTTCAATCTAATGTATGAAATATGATATGTCAAGAGCTTTCTAATGTTGTGAACAACCAATAAAAAAATAAAAAATTAAAAAAAAGAAATGCAAATCAAAAAAAAAGTTATCTGCAATTGGCAGGGCATAATCAAGACACATTTATTATATACACTCAACATAGTTGAATCAAGCAGATAATATATTCTTAACATTCTTAATGCATGCCCCCTGTCCCTACCTGGGGCTAATGAGTAATTCTACATGCCCATAAAGCCATTCAGCATACCAGTTAGTGCAGGTTGACTGCAGATTCTGAAATCTGTAGAAGACTTTTCTATTGACAGAACAGCTCATTTTTTTTCCTAAAATGTTTTATGTTGGCCTGATCTATAAATTCTTCAATTAATTTTCCTAAGTTTTAGTGCTACTTTTAGTTATGAATGACATTAGGGTAAACTTTTAGAGGAAGGAACAAAATTGTTATTTTTTACCTCTAATTAACTAGAATTCTAAATACAATATTATTTTAAAGTGTTCAGCTCCAAAGATATGGAGAAGATCTGATGGCAAAACAGTTGAGATGGATACCCAGTTCACCATCAGAGCCAGAGAACTGCAGAACATCTATAAGTGCATTATACTGAGGAATCTCTCTCAAGATGAGAGAGTGGATATACTCTTAACACTTAAACATACTGTGAAGGTATGTTTACTTTCTCTTAGTTTTGGTGTAGAGTTCAATATAAATAATAAAATTATTTATTTATAAATAATTAGCAATATAAGTATTTTTTGTTAAGTAATTATAAATATTTTTAATAAATGTTTATATATATTTTATTGTATCAACAATTATGTTATTTTGATATCATTTGGGAAGGATATGGTTTGTTAATTAATATTTACCTAAAAGCTCTTAAATATATATTATACTACATAATAAAATGTAAGCAGAGCTTAATGAATATTTGAAATGTAAATGTATCTATGCAGTGCATGCAAATGTAAGCAAATAAATTGCATGAGATTAATAATTAACTCATTTCCACAAAACAGCAATTATTATCTACACTTTTGGACATTTTTCAATGAAAAGCTGTTTTTCACAGTTTTAAAGCAGTATCATATAGTATTTTTCAAATCTCTTTTTCTCTTCCATTATTGACTTCTGTGTTTTAAATTCTGCTTTAAATGAAAACAAAGTTGATGGATGGCACAGGTCAAGTTTCCTCAAGAAACTGGCTCTAGTATGGGGTTTGTGTTTAGAGGTTCACCAGAGTGCACTCAAGATCACTGGTGTGAGGCAGTATAGAAAGCAGGATTGTGCAGATAGAGTTCACCTGCAGTGACTTTAGCCAATTTCTCTGGGAACTTTGAAGCTGGGTCAGTCCTCCAGAGTCCTGCTGAATTGAAGCAAGGGTCAGGACTTTTCACTCCCACATGGGCCTTCTACTGGATGTGAGCTGACACTGGAAAAGAAGTGTGATTTGGGATGAGGCACCTCTTTCTCAGCGTGCACTAAGACTCAGAAAGACAAGTAGCCCATGTTTTCTCTCATGTGGAATCTAGGGGGGGAAAAGCGTAGATATGAAAGTGGAAGGAGGCTGTCAGCGAAGAGGAAGGGGAAATGGGGAGTGAAGAAATAGAATAAATATGATCAAAGTACATTATATGCATTTATCAAATTGCCTCAATGAAACGGGTATTCTGTACAATTAATATGTACTAAAAATTATAATAATAAAAACAGAATTTTCACAAAGGAACTCAGTTGAGAGTTGTTGGTCCATGACAGGCCAGAAGGGGGAGTCTGAGAGCTGCAGTTCTGACTATAGCATACCCTGCACAAATTGCTGTTTCATGTAAGTTAGGGGAATAGTTCCTCTGATCTGGATAAGCCCTTTCTTCCTGGAAAAAATTGCAGGAGTGTGGTTAGTGAGAACAACTGCAGCCCCTGTTGTAGCCATTGGCTTTAAGGCCACATAGATACTCTTTCCTCTCTTTCCTCTGCTACCCATTTTAGATTTCCATCACTCTAGACTAGCACCCTGACTGATCTGGGTGGCCAATAACTTGGGGTGACCACACCTTCAGAACTCTAGACTACAGATTACTATGCTTTTTCTCAGGCTAAGGAGTCTAGGCTTCCATTTGTTGTCAAAATCAGGCAAGGGTATACCAAGACATGCCTACTGTCCGAGTGTCAAACATATTCTTCATTGTCCCCATTAGGGAGTAAGTGGGGCCAATTCTATTTCCATTCTCTTTGTTTCTAGGATAGAGCAGTTTCAGAGGCTTCCATATGATCTTTTCCATCAGTATATTTCTTAATCTACAGGTCAAAAGATCAAGAGTAGAGTGGTTGTGCCAACTACCAAGTATTCCATTCCAGATATGAATTCAAGGACTGGGGAATGAATGCATAAAGTCTCTATGACCAATTAGTATCCATTGAGAGCTGGACCTGGGCCAAGTTCCCTTTTCTTTTTTGTTTCCACTTACCCCTGATTCTCAGAGGGTCCTGGGCCTTTATGTCCCCAATCCCTAGTAATTGGTCATTTGAGTCAGGATATCACCAAGAAGAAAGCATGACTGTTTTAGTTAACGTTTTTGCTGCTGTGACTAACCGATTGACCAGAACAATAGAGGAGGAAAAGTTTATTTGAAGGCTCACAATTTCAGATGTCTTAGTCCATAGAAGGCTGGCTCCATTCCTCCGGGCTCAAGGTGTCAAGGTGAGGCAGAGCATCATGGTGGGAGAGTGTGGCAAAGGGAAGCAGCTCACATTGGGAAGGAGAGGGGGAGGGGGAGAGAAAGGGGGAGGGGGACCACTCTCCAGACAGAAAATATATACCATATAGCCATGCCCCCAAGAACCACTTCCTCCAGCCACACCCCACTTGCCTCCAGTTACCACTCAGTCAATACCATCAGAGATCAATTCACTGATTGTGTTAAGATTCTCACAATCCAATCATTGTTTCTCTGAGGTATCGTGGATTCTTACTGCTAAGCACTCTAATTCTTTTGAGAAGAAACTTCACCAAGACACATGGCACTCTTAAAATACATCAAATAGCTGTGTAGATGGTTCTTATTGGGAGACAGGTTCCCATAGTATCTTGCATTTCTGCCTATATTGAGAGCACAGGCTTTCACTGCTTTTGTTCTGGACTGCCTTTTCAAAGATCCTATGTAGTGTAGTGATCAGCCTTGATAGGTAATGCTAGTTAGGTAGAGAGGGGAATCAATAGTTGTAGAGGCAAGAAATAAACATGACATTTGTAGAGAGCAAAAGAAAGATAGGGAATGCAGTAGGAATCCCTACCTGACCAAATAAGGAGCAGTACCCAGTTAATTAAAAATTCCAATGATGAATTCAAAAGATAACTCATGCATATTAATGTTTCAACTTAAAATATTCAGATATACATATACATGTATAAATATATTTAACAGTATTTTGATGGAGGATTAAGGTAGGTGAGCATACCTTAAATTCTGACTCTATTCACTTATGATTGTACAATCTTGAATAAGTTCCTTAATATTTCTGGAAATCAGTTTCATCATTAGTAAAATTAGTCACTTCAAGAATATGTATATGTGTACATATCTATCCACATATATAGAGATATATACATATGGTCTCTCACTAATGGGGAGCCCTCTGTGAACAACAGGTTTTATTTTGATGACAATTACTAACACAGAATCTTAAACCTGAATATAACTTTCTAGGGATCTTGAGAGAGAAAGAGATCATGAAGGAGTATGAGAATAAATAAGAGTGATGTCTAGGTCTCATCTTAGGGCAGTTAAATTAGACCCTCAAATGTGAAGACAATATCAAAATCTCCCCCAGTTCCTCCTAGAATGCCTGCAGGGTGAAGGACCACTGATGCAGACTTTCATATTAGCTTTACAAGTAAGCGTGAAGAAGCATGAAAGAACATTTTACTCCTGCTCATTGCCTTCTGACTGAATTATCTTGTTCTCCTCTGGGCAGTTGGAGGAAACTATTTCTGTTTTACTACTTATAAGTACTGCTTTTATCCTGGAACTCTTAACCTGGGCTTTCTTATTTATCTACATCCATTATTATTACTTTATAATTTCTAAACACAAACCCCTTTCCTACCTGATTGCGGTCCTCTTGTCTGCTAGCACTTACTATCATGCTGACTTGCATGGTAGACATTTCCTTGTTTTTTCTTTAGTTTTACCACCTCTGTATAAATAATATGGTTTAGTGTTGCTTATTTTTGAATTTTCTTAAATTATACTGTATTGTTTCATCTTGCTTATTTTGCTTAAAAATCACTTTGTAAGATTTAAGTATATTATTTTATATAGCTAGAGTTCATTCATTTCCATAAGTTAGATAATATTCCATTGTACAAATAAACTGTAATTTATTTAGGCAATTATTTTGTTTACAGATGTTGCTTATTTCTAGTTTTTTGGCTCCTGTGAACAATAGCTCCAGACGTGCATTTCTTTGGGCCAATGACTATGCATATCAACTCTACTACTAGAAAATGCTAATTTTTTCCCCAATTGGTTATAATAATTTCTACTTCTAGCAGTATTGTATCATTTCTCTTAAAATGTAGCTTCTGGTGATTTTAAAAAATTTTATATTGAATATTTTGTGTTTTGTATAGGAACATGAATGTAAACTGACCCAGGAAATCCTAGAACTGATTGATAGAGAAGTTGACCTTATGATGAGAGGAGTCAAACCTTATAACCTAGAAGGACTCAGAAAAAGAATCGCAACACTCTTTTTTCAATATATTAAAACACCTCTGTTTAATCCTGAAGTGGCAAGATTCTTGAAGGTACTCTATTTTTTCCCCTATATTCCCTTTTCAGAATCCTAGATGCAATATGTTAAATTGGAAGATGCTCAAATTTTGCTTTAACTCTTTATTTGGAATCTAGTGGAAGATCATTTTATTGGTGAAATTTCCTTTGAATGATTAGTAAGTTGATAAACTATACTTACTCATTTAACTTCTATGCCTGTGATTCTAGCCTTGAATGTTTCTCAAAATAACTAAACCAATGTTCCAGTTGAGTATTGCATTATGTTGAATTCATCTAATATCTCACACCTCGATGCTTTACACACACTGCTGTTTCCACCCAGAATGCTCTGCTATTTTATTTCATCAACCAAATCCCACTTAGGTTTAGAGACTCAACTCTCATTGGTGTCCTCTCCTTCATGGAAGAGTTAAACTTTTCATTTCTTAGATTGCATGTTGCACCTTATTTAACTTCCCTAAAATACTTAGCACATAGCTATACTGATTAGTGAACAGACCCCTATAGATATTCTGAGGAAAATCCAAATGTAAATTGTGTTTGAATTAAAATGTGTTCTCCAACTCTGGCATGCTTTGGTTTCTGGGGGATTTTGTGGTCCTACGCCAAGATAAGTGCCTTATTGCTTTCATACTGTGCAAAATCATTTAAAACACTTTCAGTAAATTGGGATTAAGGGGAGGGGATTGCCAAAGAATTATACATTGTGTTTTATTTCAATGATTATTTTTAAAGTTATAATTTAAGGAGCAGACTAAATATTTCAGCTTTTTGATGAAACAGAATCCCAATATTTAGACAAAACCTTTAGAAGAATATAATTTATTCTAGAACCTTAATTATATTGTTAAAAGCATATTAAATTATAATGGAAGTCCAAGAGAAAAGGTGCTCATTCTGTTATTTCAATCAGTGGTTCATTTGTTCAAGTTAACTTCTAGTCTTTCTCTATAGACTAATGCAGTTCATACATATTCATAAAAACCTTAGTGGGAATTTTGTATTCTGCACTTCCCATATTATTTTATTCATGTTTTAAATTTACCTTTGGCAAAATTCACTCTTTTTGGTGAATTCTGACAAATGTGTTAAGTCATGTAACTAACAGTGCAGTCTAGGTAATATTCCTGTCACCAGAGAGAATTTCCTTTATGCTCTCTTTGTAGTCAGCACTTTCCTGACCCCCGCAACCCTTGGCAAACACTGACTGACCTTCACTTTATTTCCATAATTTGATCTATTCCATAATGTCATCTAAGTGAAACCATGCTATCATGAAATTGGTTTTTTTTATTGGTTGTTCACAACATTACAAAGGTCTTGACATCATATTTCATACATTAGATTGAAGTGGGTTATGAACTCCCAATTTTACCCCAAATGCAGATTGCAGAATCA